GACGTTTCAGTAGGGATATGGGAGGCGCGGCCGCCCCCACCAGCCACTTCAGCGAGGGTTATCCACTTGAATTGACATAATTAAAAAAAAAAAAGGGGGGGGGGGCGCTGCGACAAGCTTTCATCCGCCCCCCTGAAGGCGAACCTGCACGCCTATGTCAACGATAACGAAACATGTCCTGCTCGTTTTGTTCCTTTTTTTTTTATAATAGCATTAGCCGAGTAGGAACCAGCGTGCTTTGCTGACAGTAAAGCTGTGCGGGTGCGAGCTGTAATAACTCAGCTGCCGTAAGAAAAAACAGTAGCTCAGGTGGTCATCATGGTTAGAGTGACCATGGTTTCACACTTGAACCCTTCCCCCTCTCCCCTACCGCATCTCCAGGGTTGTACCCAGGAATTTTTACGGAAAAAAAGGGGGGGGGGGGTTATGTGTAGAACGACTAACCTCTGTCAATCGGTGGTCGATGTGAAGGCACATAAATACTGTGGAGTATCACTCCACAGCTCTCTCCTGTCCGGCCAACTCTGGACCGTCCAGCAGGCCCGCGGAGCGGCCGACAGGCTTGGCCTGGCGGTACCGACATGGGAGTCGCCCACTACGCACTAATATGCGTCTTTGCCGGACAACATTAAAGTTTCACACCCACCGGAAGAATAAAAGCGTGAAAAAATTTCCGGGGTGTCAGAGCCCCCCCCCCCCCCACCCCTCAACAGCTAGTTACAAACCCCTCTCCAGTAAATAAGGGCGGGTTAAAGCGGCTGCAAGCTTACACAGGGAACGAATGTCTGCTGGGATAAGAGGAAGGGAAGGCAGGTCAAGGCCGAGCAATTACTTCCAATTATGCACACGACATAATTATGTCATTGCTGTGACCAAAATCTGGACGCATTCCACAAGGTTCATCCCAGCATAACGTACGTTCAAAAATATAGAGAGCGAAATGAAGTCGCTAATTAGTATTACTGAAGTAAATGAAGCTAATGTTTGTGCAAGCTGTCCATTCCATCGGCATATTACATGTCCAGAACAAAACGAAGCATCCCCCTATTTTCTTAGTGACGCCCCTACGAAGGTCAAGCTTGTTTCACGAACGAGCCTGACCGCACTTTAATTGAATGTGTACAAACACAGTTCGCTGCGCCATGAGAAAGATGCAGTATGCGTGCAGGAATGCGAAATTCGAGAGGTCTTTTTTTTTCTTCTTAAATTTTCGCGATCAACACATACACATGTGTTGTCACGTATGTCGCCGTGCAATTTACTTCGAACTACTCCAATTATAACAGTGAGTCAGTGTTTTTTTTTTCTATAACGGCAGCTCAAATACACAAGAGCGAAGCACACACGACAACAATGTGATCAAACTTCGATTTCACCGCTTTTTTGTGTGTGTTTGTTCGTTGTTTTTCACATTTGAGTTGTTGTTTACAGATCGTATGCCGCCAACTAGTCCGCCAGCAAATCCTAAGCAGTCAGAGTACGAAAATATCACGTTGAAATAACAACAGCCACACATCTAACGAGACGCGGTTTGTACAGCGCCGAGATTCGATGGTATCTCTTGTGACGAGCTTGCCGAATACAACCATAAATGGACGCACGAGTCACTTGGCCGGGTCGTCGCAACTGCTTGCGTCATTACCCAAAGCCCACAACCCACCGATCGCAAATGCGTAACGCGGGAACAAAATAAGAAAACGCGACGCTGAATGAATGGAACGCCACGGCGACGAGCGCGAAAGCGCGCGAAATTTCTAGAAACAAACCAACCGCCTCGCCACCGCCCACTTGAAAAACAAATCGAAACACCTGCACGGTCTCCACCACGTGACTCCTCCCAACCAATCGACGCTCGCGATGGCTGACTCAGTCTCGCGCTCTCTCCCCGGTTCTCGAACGTTCGCGAACACCACCGAAGCGAGCGCGCGTCTGTATAAAAGCGCGAGAGCGCGTTGCTCGAGGCATATTTCGACTCCTCGTCAGCGTCGATTACGAGCGTGAAGCCTCGCATCTTCGTGGACGCAACTCCCCGAATCGAACAGCAGTGATGGCCCTGTTTCCAGTGCTGTACGGCGACAACTGGGGTCCCTCCGACTTCGCCCGGCGGTTCTTCAACGACGACTTCGGACGCACCTTCCTCGACGGTGAGCTGTTCGACCCTCCGTTCTTCCACCAGCGGTTTTACCTGGAACCCAGCCGGTTGGGCCGTGCCGCTGCCGAAGTCCAGAACCGGACCGGCGATGCGGTTGCCTGCACTGGCGACAAGTTCGCCATCAACGTGGACACCCGGCACTTCTCGCCGGAGGAGATCACCGTCAAGACCAAGGACAACAGCGTCATCATTCACGGCAAGCACGAGGAGAAGTCCGACGACCGCGGCTGCTACGTGAAGCGCGAGTTCACCCGCCGCTACGTGCTGCCCGAAGACGTCGACCCGCAGTCGGTGAAGTGCCAGCTGACCCCGACGGGCTACCTCGCCCTGGAAGCTCCTCGCAAGAACCCGGCTCCCAAGGTGGACAAGAGCAAGCCGATCCCCATCGAGGTTCGTCACGAGTCCAGCGCCAGCGGCGACAAGAAGTGAGCACGAGCCATGAATTTCTCACTTCTCCCTGCTAAAGTTCCTTCAGTTTCGGTGCGACTGACCTCGGTGAAATAAGAGTCCAGGGACCTGAACGCCGCAGAGCTAGCGGCCACATCGTGAAACCAGAGCGGGAAGCACAAGTTAAGAGCTGGCCTCGAAGCAAACTTCCCCTGGAACTGTTTTTTTTTTTTGTTCTATGAACATTTGTAGTGCTCAAAGTTTCATGTTTGTTGTGCTGTTAATAAATTAAGTTCCTTTGTGCTAGTCATGTGTGTAGTGTGTTCTGTGCGTCAGTGTGAACCGCCCAACCGAGTGATTTCACTGGTGAGTGCTTAACTGATAACTCTTCGCTGTGGTAGTTATGTATTCTCTCGCATTGGCAAAGTTTATGAAAGAGCAGTTATGAATAGAAGGATCCTGAACTAGTTGTTGCATATACACACCCTCAGGGCAGAACTTCAACTGAGCATTATTACGTTTCTCATGCAGCCCGCTTAATTCGATTATGAGCACAGTTTTGAAATTAGAAGCTATCTACAATGTTATGGCCTCCTCTGATAGCCTTGTGTACAGTATGGTCAACGATAATCAAATATTTGCCTACCTTGCACTCGTTGGTCTAATTGTGCTCAAGCAAATACTACAACCTTCAGATGCAAAGCTGTCTGTGATGTAGCACACACTGCAACAGAGACTAACATGCTGTGAAACAGAAAAAAAAAAACACTGTAGGACAGCGAATTCTGTTGAATGGGACACTACATACCAACACGTCATACAACAGTGCCTTGAAGTCTCATGGTGTGTTAAGCAAAAACTACATTCCTGTTAATTTTTGGCATTTAATGTAGCAAATGTACACAAGCCTAATAAAAGGTAGGTAAGATGGTCTGCTGCAAACTTCTATTGTCAAATGTACATTTCTTGCCATCTTTATTGTCTGTTAGTCAGCTCATAAAAATAAATCTGAGGTGGTACTTAGTACTGTAGTGTACATGTGCGAAGAAACTCCAAATCAGTTAAGGTAGAGTATTGTGTCATAACATAGTGTGCCTTTCGTAAGACCACACAGCGGAAAACCTTGCACCTAATCTGTAGCACTCGTGCTTTTGCTGTCTATCATGTGTTTCAGAATTCTAATCTATATCTAGGCATTTTTTCCAGTGCCGTATAAGTAAATGGACTATTACTCTACTTTGCAAAAGGAGAAAAGGGATTTCAGAGTCGACCTCTACTGTTTGAAACGTAACTTACTAGGTACGAAGTATCTCGAAGAGGCGAAATTGTTGCCTTGTTATCTCAAGCACATGCATAAACCTTCCAGCTGAAGGACGCACCAGACACTGTCATAACGTTGACAGAGTGTGAAGCCCACATAGGAGTTTCAAGGCACGCCACCACCAACACGTAGCAAAGGGTTTCTGTAGCACTTCTCACATGCTAAGTCATCTTTTATTTTCCCTTAAAGGCCCCTGTAGGGGTATTACATAAGGGGGGGGGGGGGTAACATAGAATGTTAGACATGAGACTCGTCAGGTCACAAATTTGAAACACACATTTCATTGAAATATATTACCTGTTTACGCGCAAAATAAAAACATTACAATTTAACGAGACATGAAGAACAGTGTAAAGTCGTAATATTACAGCGTGAGGTGGATCAGTAAGCAACTGCTTAAACACAATGGGTCATGTTAGAGTACGTAACCATATTTTTTATTTATTCAATACTGCAGACTCAAGGTCCGAGCAGGGTGGTAATACATACACAATATAAATGAAATAATTGCAAAACGAAACAATAAAGGGCGAAGAAGGTTGTCTGGTAGGGTAATTCATTCATCACATGTATTCAGTAAGACAGTTCCATTCACACATGGTTCTTGGAAAGTATGAAAACTTAATTAGGTAGTAGCTTAGTAAATCTTATCATTTGTCTTCATTGGCATATTGTATGCATGCCCTATACTGAATCGATACATCTCGCTGCTAGCGATCTGTTTCTATGATTCCCCTTTTCTCTTTTTGTTCAACACAAGTCTACGAAGCTGTTCAACACAGGTCTACGAATTTCCCAATTCGATGCTGTCAGCCAGGTTCTCAACCACTCAACTGCTCTTGCTGCATCTTGGTACCAACTCTTAATGCAAACAAAACAAGAGTTATCAATCCTACACCAAAATATTCTGATTATTATCACTTTTCCATTAGCAACATCAGTTTGCTCCATAATCATCATTGCAACCATTTCTTACATTCATCATTCCTCGATCCATTTGTCAATATTTTTATCAGGCTCCATTTCTCGTCATGGCAGTGCAACATTACGAGAGGAAATGAACGTAATATACTGTTTTAATTCTTCCACGAATGATTTTAACATTCATTGCTTACTGCTTATGACGTACACATTGAAATTTTCTTTTCTTTTTGCTTTCACCATTTTTTCACACTTTAAAGGCAAAGAAATGATTACTAAGCATATACCTGCCATGGTGGTCTGGACGTTAAGACACTCGGCTGCTGCCCCGCAGGTCACAGGATCAAATAGGGGCCTCTGCATTTTCGATGGAGGCGAAGTGCATGAGGGCCGTGTGCTTAGGTTTAGGTGCACGTTAACGAACCCCAGGTGGTCAAAATTTCACGAGCCCTCCACTATGGCATCCCTCGTAGTCATATGGTAGTTTTAGGATGTAAACTCCATTAATTATTAATACTAAGCATATAATGAAGTTCAGCAGTGTTCGAAGTTGGTCAAGTTGGTGACATTTCGTATTACTATGTGCAGCGATCGTCCTGTGTAACTGGTTTTTTCCTCTTGTCTTCGTGTGCTCTCGGATTGAAAAGCATGTAACGGTTTGTGAATGCACATTTAAAAATTATCAGCCAATTATAAATGATGCAAACCATTGTCTTGTGTGTCGATTTGCAAAACTAAATGCTCTGAAGAATTTTTCAAGAACATTTGTACTAGTGTGTCGGTAATTATAGTCAACAGATTACGCACGAATATTCGCACTGACGAGATGGATAACAGCAAGCCGAGAAATATGAATGGCATGGTATCCTCAAAACCAATCTTCCAGTTATTCCTTGCGCCACAGAGTTTCAAGAACTGTGCACCTTTAGCTTCGTCACCTCATTTATCTGGAAGCCTCCTTGTTCTGTGGGAGCAGGATCTCTCTCGATAATCAATCGCTTGGGTAGCTCATGCACACACACATACATAAGGACTAAAATAATTAGAAGAGAAGAGACAAGAAGCTGTATTTTGTAGCACCCGTACTCTATCTGCTTCTGATGAATCACTATTTGTGCAGAAAGCAAAGGTGAACGTGAAGTACGTTCACATTCTCAGCTTCTCTCCAAGTTACTTGCAAGTGCTTCCCTTTGCACGAGATACAATGTCAGTCTGTTAAGTAATGAGGGTACATCTGGTTAACCTTAATTCATTGATCTGATCGGTACATATTATTAGAATGCTTCAGTATAGCTTTGTTGGGCAACCATACACCAATTACAATGTGATTTCCTTGCTGTAAGGCTCTCTGAAAGACTGTGACAGTCCATTGGATGGCGAGATCGAATACCACCGAAATAGTGACCTTTATTTCTGGCTTCTCTTGAACTTTGCGAGGCTCATACCAACGCTGATGCCGCCCTCATATAAGCCCACCAGATTACCCAAAGGAAACACCCGTGATAATCTTTGTATGTTGATATTAAGATGTAGTTAACAACTAGATTATGCAACGAACGTGACCAGGGGCACTTTCGTTCCACACACGCACACCTTCCACCTGGATCAAAATAAGGCTAATCCAACAAGAAAAATTAGTATAATTTTCATTTGTGTGGTTGTGTCTTCCGTCCTGAACGCATGAGCATCATTCGTAGCTTGTCTAAGAGCTCCAGCGCAGCATCCATAATCTCATTTGCTGAGAAATGCTTCTGTTTCATTGTGTTGCACCTCTAGCACTCACACAACCCCCACATTTCTTTTTTTTCTTTAACTGGGGCTGCATTCACATCAAGATTATAGTTCCTTAAGAAAGGGAAAGAAGACAACAACCTGTTTGTAGCTTGAAGCCACAAGAAAATCATATGGATTTCTCACAAAGAAAGGTCTTTTAGTTTCGACGTGAAGCTGACTGCTCACATGAATGCATGATGCTGATGTGTGTTTCTGGCATATCATTGCCTCATGAATTAACTCTGTTGACTCTTAAAAGCTTCATGAATTAATCAACACAACTTCCTTAAAGTATTGTAAAATAGTGCCAAACTCGCGATAAGGAGTTCAAGGTGGCTTCTTTGCATTCTCCCCGCATAGTGTGGCGCTATGTTTTTTGTACAGCTCTACAGTTTGTACATTTTAGCACCTGACCACTAATTCAAACTCTGCTTAATTTGAAGAATTTCATAGTGCCCCACGAGTTTGTATCAACGAGTATAAAGTCTTCTTGAGACAATAACCTTACCTTTACGCTATACGTTTGTGTTTCTTTGTATGCGTGACTAATAAAGGTATCTCAGAGTAAGGAGGGGTTGATTCCCCCCCCCCCCCTTTATGTTTTTTTTTTACTACGCCATTGACGCGAGGTAATTCCACGGTCAAAATATTTGGTCGAAAGAGAAATGCAACAATTAACCAGTGGCGTTCGTTTGGCGAATCGTGCACCGCGGTGGAGCACTGATTTATGGTGCTTAACTGCAGACCTGACGGTACGCGGGATGGAGGCCCATGCTCGAGCTAGGCCCATGTACTCAACCCCAGGTGGTCGAAATACCCGCGGAGCCCTCTACTACGGCGTCTCTCATATTCATAAGGTGGTTTCGGGACGTAAAATCCCAGACATTGTTATGATATTACGCCAAATCGCAACGTGGGGGGCACTCTCTCCCCTAGTCAGTCCCAGTTTGGCCTGTCCATTTGCGGGCAATACTGACGTTGAGCAGTTCCTACACCATTTCCCCCCTCCCCTCCAATTTTCCATTCACCATGCGTATAGGTGGGCCCAAATCCAAACGCATCAACACGATAGGATCAAAATTTTCGGAGCTCTCTACTACGGCAATCACACAGACACACTAACCAACATGCATGGGAGAGGGGTGACCCCCCATCCCCTTCCCCCTATGATCCCTCGAGAGCCAAAATTCTTGCCATGCCCCTTGCGGCAGCTTAAAAATCGAATAGACAATAGAACGGTAAACTGACTTGACAAAATTTCAATCTCGTAATGGGGCTGGCTGTCAGGTGT